ATGAGGCATTGCTCGTAAGCATTCGAATCGCTAGGGAAATGAGGGCAGAGTCCATCAAGATCTATAGTGACTCATAACTTGTGGTCCATCAAGTTACTGGGGAATACTAGACAAAGGAAGATAGGATGACATCCTACCTCCAGCAAGTGGAGACCGAGCTCAAACTGTTTAGATCCTTTACCATTCTCCAGATCTCAAGGGAGAAAAACTCGCAGACAGATGCATTGGCTCGCTTGGCCTCAGTAATGAACAATAAGAATGTCGATTCAATTCCAATTAAATTCCTTCCAAAATCAAGCATCTTCGCTTCACAAGATCCAGTGTTAACCACAAGTCAAAGGTACAACTGGATGGATACAATCACCACCTACTTGAAGGACGACACACTGCTAGAGGACATAACCAAAGCTAGAGCACTTTGCACGAAGGTAGCTCGATACACGCTCATCAACAATAAACTATATAAGCGTGGATTCAACGTATCGTTGCTGCGATGTATTGACCACGAGGATGCAAATTATGCTTTGAGAGAAATACACGAAGGAATTTACAGGAATCACGTAGGGGGCAGATCTCTAGCTTATGATGACGCAGCAGAGATGTGACAGATGCCAGAGATTTGTAAATATTCTGCGGGCTCCACCGCAAGAATTGACCATTCTGACAAGCCCATGGCCATTCGTGATATGGGGCATTGACATTATCGACCCATTGCCTAAGGAAAAAGGGGGCGTTAAATTCATGGTAGTTGCCGTGGATTATTTCACCAAGTTGAAAGATCAGCATGCATGAAGAGTGGTGGAGATGAAGAGTGAAAACATAAAAGGATGGATTCAAAAAACGGTTTTCAAACAAAGCTTGGAAAAGAGATTATACCTACTCATTTGCTTTGGATTGATGAAGATTAGCCTAGTAATGAGACCTCCACACTTTAACACCACCTTGAGAGAGTTAGAGAGTGGTCGTGGGTAGGGAGAGAGCTTTTAGTTTGGTTTTTGAGTGAACAAGTGAAGAATGAACTAAAATGCAATCTTTTGCATTTATATATACTTGGGTAATTTTGCAATTATTTGTTTTTCACTTCCAAGCCCAATAAAATCTTATTTTAAAAAGGGACTCCACGAATTTATTATGCTACCCTTTGAATAATCAATATTATTCAAGGGCCCATGTAAACTAAATTAATTTACATTAACAACCCATAAATTTACCCTTTTACCCTTTAACTATTAAAAGGTTATTTTTGTTCATCTCATTAATCTTAACGCTTTAAGATATAATAATTAAATATAATTAATTATTACTTGACCATTTTAACCCTTAAAATGTCGCAAACAATTTTCTATGTAACTATTACCATAGAAATCCCATCATTACCCTCGGAAAGTGCTATCCCTCTTCGGATAATCATTTCTCTCTCTCATCCTTCTCTAACTTCTCAAGGCTATTGGTGTGACCATGTAGGTCCACCGTGGATTAGCCGTGAGCCGATTCTGGATGAATCCGAAAACCTGTACGGAGGCCCAACGACTATGGTAAACATCTAGCAATATGCCATAGTCCCTAAACCACGATGAAGAAATACTTCATCGAACCCATTTCAGATCATACGTACCATGCAGGTAAAGTCCCTCCATTGATATATCCTGGTCGAGCAAGGATTCATGGAACGTCAAAATCCTAAACTCGATCTTTTACCGAATCTTCGATCAATGTGTTCGGAACTCGTCATCACAAACTTGCTTTTGTATGACTAATAATAGACTCTAGCCAGAGATTCTGATTTCTGACATTTATCGACGTTCGACTAGGAACTCGAATCCGGATGGAGTCAACGGTACTCCCGATCCTATATTTCTGAGTCAATGGATTCCCTCTTGTCCATCGTTCGTTTCCGCATATGAACAACGCAAGATCAAATAGGCTTTATTATATGAAACATGATTAGTCTCGTACTTATACACCGTATGAACCATACGCATCCGTATCGGATCCAACTACAATGTCTCAAGTCAAAGGAATACATCGTGCACTGATATAACCAAACGATAAATCATTGACTACATGCTTTTCCAAGTGATTTGTTGTTATTCGGTCATGTTTGAAAAACAGTTCACCAACCGTTAATCCATACCAATGCCCCAGTGACATGACTATCATCGTCATCCGTACTTATATCAACTCATGATATCTTTCGGAAGCATCTGATATGCCTACTGTGCAATATAGTTGCCCAAATTATATTGCTTTCGTAGGGAACCCTTTTCGATAATTCATTTACCGATTAAATGAATCATCTTGACTATTTATATACATACTTTATTTTAAATGCATGACTGAATAAAGGAAGCAATTTATATATATGAATTGAAGAACTATTTCTTCTATTATTTATGATATATAGATACAAGACAAAATGCTCTGAAATCGACAACACTAATCAGCCATTGTTTAAGGATGTTCAATTGATTTGTTCAACTGTATTTGGAGCTCGGAATATTCATCTGGGCATTTTCAGGATTCCCAAAAATCTAGTTCAATTGATTTTTCGTGCTTTTCAGGATGTTCAATCTATATCAATTGATTTTTCATGCTTTTCTTGGTTTGCTTTAAACACAAAAATAATGGAGTCCAGTTTCATAATCCAATCTAATATGCAAAGGATATGAGCTAAGCCGAGCTAAGCTCGAGCCAAGCTTTATTCTCACGAGCTCGAGCTTGAGCACCTCTCACCCAAAATCGAGCTGAGCTCGAGCCAGCCACTACTCGACTTGGTCTGGCTCGACTGCACCCCTAAGTATGAGTAGAGACAATCTTTTTTATTTCAAAATATAGTGTTGGTTACATCCTCATTGCTCGAACATGCCATTTGCAATTGACAAAATCCTTGCATACAACCTCAAAGTGATCATTGGTCGATTGAGACACCCTATGCTCAAAATTATGTAGCAAACCAAGCCAACCCAATCTATCTTTTGTCTCTTGCTTTGTATTGAAAAACACTTCTACCCAGATATCATAATCTTGAGTGGTAGACACAACATCTAAAGCCATTAAAAATTATCCTAGAATAGACACTCTTTGTATATTACCACTATAAAGCTCTGTAGCGAATAATCGAACTCCTGTTATGTCGATTGGTCTAAGTGTACTTTGTGGTTGGCATGTTGATCGAGACTCAAGTAACACACGAATGTTTGTTGCCTCTTCCTCTTCAATAGTGACGTTTTGTGTTAGCATCATTATTCCAACACCTTGATCATTCTCCATATCCTTCGTCCCAGTATTCAAATCATCCAATCTTGGGTCATTTTCATATTCTTTTGCACCCATGTTTACTTTCAGTTAGGGATGCTAGATATAGTCGGATACAATATGTTTTGCAACCCCACTTACATCAATGTCTAGATTAACGCCTAATTGATTTAGAATTGGATACCGTTGCATATCTGAAGGTGCCCTATTTTTACGGTTGCTACCAAAAGCTGAGAATGACGGTGCATCCACCGTTGAAACATGCAATGGAAGGTATCTCATAGGCTTTTTCATTTGCGTGTCAATGAAGAGTGCAAGATCATTATCATTCTCGATTATTTGTATGGGATAATAATCATCAGTAGTCATGTACTTCACGTTCAACTTTAAATTATATCGGCTCCTATTAAGTGTAGTTCTTCATGTAACAACTTCGAAAGGTCTTTGTAGTCCATATGTTTAGGTATTCTAAGTGCTTTCATATTTTTGTGAACCATTATTCTAAATCTCCTAACATCATCCATACTTAACAACAATAAAAGCCAAGAACCTCATTTTTCTGAAAAAAAAAAAAAAAAAAAAAAAAACCATTGATTCATCACGATTGATATGTGTCTAATAGGGGGTACCGGTCATTTGGACATAACTAAGGTTGACTGACACTCTCCGATATCCCCTATTAGTCTCATATCAGTCACTGTAATGTTCGACACCTGTTTAATAAGGGGGATCAGATAGATATCGTCTTTAACCTCTAGATCATTTTTGACGAATATGTTCGACATGTCTAAAACCCCATATCGATTCACATAAAAAAATGTTCAAAACTATCCATTTTCATCATGCCCAGAGAAATGTAAATTCATTTAATGTATGAGAACAACTATCTAGCCAAAGATAGCTTTATTTACATGTTTACTAAACATACATTTGACAAGTTACAAAAAATTAAATGTTTACAAGTTTCTATTAAAAATTGGGTTTGGCTAGATAGAGAGACACTTTACACTTTTAGGCTAGTTTTCAATTTACACCCCAAATTAGGGTAAAATAATATAATTTTACAAAAATTTTAGATATATTCTTATTATGGTGGTGTTAGATATATTTTTCAATTGTTTATTTTATTGTGTAGGGTTATATGTGGATAGTCATCCTCTTATGCGGATGTTTTGAAATTTTTAATGTGAGGATCAAAGATAAATGTCCAATCGTTCACTTCACAAACTCTAAAATTAAAAGCCAGCAACTAGACGCTCATCTTTGGTTCACATGTCAAAACTTCAAGATTTTCATACCTAAGAATTTTCCTATATATAGATGGGATATATGATTACAATCATTGTGGTATCAAAACCAACATGTATCATTTATATGAAAATAAGAACAATTTTTTCTATCATCTTTTTTGTCATGAGCAAAGTGTACCATTTACATGACTCCATAGTTTATTAAAAAGTATTCTTTGTAATAAACATTTATAAGAAACTTATAATAAAATTTTGATTTTTTATTAAATTAAGTAAATTCTGACAATCCATATCTACTTGTATATTTATTTAAGAGAATTTCCAAAAATTAAACTCAAAGTTAAAACTTGATTAAATAATCAGTGTTGTTGTAGACGGTAAAATCTACGGTCACAAATGCTGGGTCGAATCTAGTGATGTGAGCCACTGGTAGGCTGATGGACATGCGAGAAAAACAGCGAAGATCGTGGAGACTTGGGACGGAATAATGTCGAAATGTTGTGGTTTGAGAGCGAAATGCCAGAGCTAAAGGGCGACCTCCCTCATGAGAGGGTTTGCCTTTGTTTATATAGTGAACCCAGAGGGTTAGAATCCCAAGAAGATCTTGAGTCCTGTCTCGAGGGGGAATTCTCCCTCATGAAGAGATATGATCCCTTGTCTTTATCGGATCAGACTCACCAATTTGAGTAAGAGTCTAGATCTCACCAGAAGAGGAAGCAGAATTGGATTCTGATTCTATGTTTATCGGACTGCTGTGGGCTAATGGGCCGGAACCCAGTCAAACTTAATTTGCAAGGTAACCCAACTCGTAGAGAGGGCAGTTCGCAAAGTAGGTTTAAGCATGGGTCCAACCAAAATTGGACTAAGGCCTTAGGCCGCAACATGTTTATTTTGTTATTGGGCCTCGTCAGGTCCAATACGATTTTTGGCCCATGCAGTTGTTATGTGTAAAATTAATTCATGTGATAATCCATTTAATTTAAATAATTTTTTTCATCCCTCTGCTATATATATATCATGCTTTATTTGACATATCATAAAATGTCGGAATAGAAATGAAAGTGGGTTAAGAATTAATATGTCATTACAAATTTAGTTTTTAAACAAATTGGGGTTTACAATGAAGTTTTTAATAATTCTTCTCTCGCAAAGTATAGTATGCAAAATGTTGTGTCACATTATGATTAGATGAATGAATATATAAGGTCAATTCGATTAATTGAAGATAAATGATATGACGATTAATGGATAATGCGACATCACTTTGTATTCTTAATTTTGTATACATTATTTATAAAAGTAACACCGCTCTAAAGATTTTTTGCTGCACAAATAACACCATTTTTTTTTGGGTGAAATCTATTTCCATAAAAAATGAACCGAATGGGCTTTAACTGATTGAAACTTTAGAATTGAATCATAAAGCCCAAATAAACAGACGTCAAAACCAGCCCCTTAAACCTGCAGAAATACTAAATTGACAATACAGTGACCAAACCAAACCCCAGGACCCTAGCAACCGTCTGCAACCATGGCACAGTTCCCTTCGTAGCAAATGCACAATCTCATACTCAGAAATCAGCTTGTTCTTGATTCCTCAAGCCAAAAGTTTTATTTTTTTAATTGAATGGTCTAAAGTAAATCTGGGTTCTATAAATTTTGTTTTGCTATGGTTTCTTACTTAGTTTCTTACTTATCCAACAGCCCATTCAAAATCTAATCAATCCAAGACAGCATCAGGTTATCTTCAAACAAGAGGATTTTGTGGGTTTAAAACTGAGGCTGCTAATGGGGTGGGGTTACAGATGAACCTCCTATTATTCAATACCCGTCATTCAAGGGTTCGAGCCTCCACGATATCTGCCATTGCTCGTTTTGACGAACGGTATCGTCCCTTTGGAACCAAAGAGGCAATACATAGATGTAGCCCCGAGTTGTGGTTTGTTAAAGTTGTGTGTACGCTGTTAGTTCGTTCTCATTTTTGTTTGGATAGTTGTTTGGGCTATTTGAGTCAGAACTTGACTCCTTTGACATCGTTTGAGGTAATTACACGGTTAGATAACCCGAGATTGGCCGTCAGATTTTTGGAGTTTAGTAGAGTGAACTTGAGTCTTATTCATTCTTTCAAGACTTACAATTTACTTCTAAGATCTTTATGTGAATCGGGTCTGCATGATGTGGCCAAAGTGGTGTTTGATTATATGAGGAGTGATGGGCATTTGCCCAATAGTTCAATGATAGAATTTTTGGTTTTGTCATTTACAAAAGTAGGAAAATTTGATTTTGTCAAGGAATTGCTTTCTCAGCTGCCGTCTGAAAAAATTGCTATGGATACTTTCACGTCTAATAGTTTGTTGAATTGGCTGGTTAAACAGAATAAGGTTAATGAGGCCATTTTCCTGTTTAAAGAGCATTTTAGATTGTACTCTCGACCAGACACTTGGACTTTTAATATTATGATCCGTGGTTTGTGCAGAATAGGAAAAGTTAATAAGGCTTTTGAGATTTTCTGCAATATGGAGAGTTTTGGCTGTTCTCCTGATGTTGTTACATATAACACACTTATAAACGGATTTTGTAGGGTTAATGAGGTAGATAGAGGGCACTGGTTGTTGAAGGAAGTCAAGTTAAGAGATGAAATTTCACCGAACGCTGTGACTTACACGTCAGTCATCTTGGGTTATTGCAAGCTAGGTAAGATGGAGGAGGCTTCTTGTATACGTGATGAGATGATTAATTCTGGTATTCAACCTACAGCAGTAACTTTTAATATTCTTATCGATGGCTTTGGTAAGGTTGGTGACATGATTTCTGCTGAATCCATGCGTGAGAGGATGCTTTCACTTGGTTATGTTCCTGATGTTGTTACTTTCACTTCCTTAATTGATGGTTATTTTCGAAATGGACAGGTGAAGATGGGTTTAAAGCTGTGGGATGAAATGAATGCAAAAAACATATCCCCAAATGTGTATACTTTTGCCATTCTTATTAATGCTTTGTGCAAGGACAATAGACTAGATGAGGCTCGCAGGTTTTTGAGTCAATTGAAGTGCAGAGATATAGTTCCCAAACCCTTCATGTACAACCCTGTGATTGATGGACTTTGCAAGGCCGGTAATATAGATGAGGCAAATGCAGTTGTGGCAGAAATGGAGGAAAAGAGATGCAAGCCTGATAAAGTAACATTTACTATTCTAATTATTGGGCATTGTATGAAGGGAAGAATGTTGGAGGCTATTAGCATTTTCAATAAGACGGTGACAATTGGTTGTGGCCCGGATAACATAACTGTAAATTCATTGATATCTTGTCTTTTGAAGGCTGGGATGCCTAATGAAGCCTTTCGCATTATGCAATTGGCATCAGAGGACCTGAACTTGGCTTTTCCATCCTTGAAGAAACCAATGCCTTTGGCAAGTACCGATATTCCAGTGGCTCCTTAAGGTAAAGGATGTCAAACTATTGAACTTGTCATTATCAACCCATTCAATGAGCGAGGTCTTTCACTGTCATGCACCAAGAACCAAATGCAGCATATCAGCTTGGAGTGCTAATGATTTAGCAGTAAGTATTTTATCAGCATTCTTTAGTTTGGCTTAAAACTTCAGTTTCTGCAAATTGACACACTTCCAAACTTTATCAATTCTATTGAACTTGTACATATCTTTTCTTCCTTCTGTATGTTACCTTTAGTAATAAATTTGATTTATTTACAGGAACTTTGCTGTCAATAAGTATATGAATTCTGTCTTTTTATGGTTAGAGAATAATTAGTTATCTTGAATAATCAACTTATGCTTGTTCATCTTATTGTTGTGCTATAATAGTATTGAGGGAGACTTCTTGTTTCAAAATAAGATGTTTTGATCTCTTTTAGTGATTTACTATAATTCTAGTTAAGTAATGTTGGCGTGATTCCCACTGCAATCTTCAAATGCCGGAAATGGGCTTGTACTAGGAGAAAGGTTTGGGTGAGTATCAATAGGAGTCTCTACCTGTAGAATGTTTGGAGGAGAATGAAGGATTATGTTGAGTTATCAAGTCATATAAGAAGTGACAAAAGTGTTCAAATATGGGTATATATTAAGAGGTCAAAGGTGAAATAATTGTTTATTATTCATATATCCTGACTTAATGTCCCTTTCAGAACAGCAAGCCCCATTTTCAAGCTGTTGGAAAACAAAGAGAAGTAGACTAAAATTTACTTAGACTATTCTTCCATGGACAGCTAAGTACTGCCTTTGAATAGTTACCAAAATATGAGTAATTATGTTTCTATCATATATGTAAAGTTTATTTTTGATAGAAGCTGTCAGAACAACATCGGTGCCTGAAACTTTTGGTTACAGCATAGTTAGTATATTTTTAATGCCTTCATAGAGTGATGGCAAGGGCTTACTTCCTGGTTCCAATAGTGTGATTAATGTCTTATAGACTATTTTTAAGGAAGTAACACTGAAGTAGTTTCTTCTGCCTTATTCTGTTTCATTGCTGATCGGAGAAATATTGTGCTTTTGGAGGAGAGAAAAATGACTGTGTTTGGTGGAATTGTATTTTTGCTGCTTATCTGGATGGAGTGAATGGGAGGGTCTTTGATGATATGTGCATTGATGATGTGGACTCCTTGCAGAATAGGTTTTATTTAAGCAAATTCGGCTTTAGTTCTTAGTGAATTTCGAATACCGGTCTTAGTATTTTATGATAATTAGGATGAGTTGATTGTGGATTATTTTTTTATTTTTATTTTTTTGACCTTAAAATCCAATGTAAATTTATATAATTGTAGATATCAATAAGTCATTACTCTCTTTCTTGTAAAAAAGATTTTGTGAAGAGTCCTTAGGATTCACTTCCCAACTGTCTATTTAAATAACTATGCAAGCTATCACTGACATCATTATTGATCACATGTGGTAATTTACAACAGGCCTGATAATTAAGGATAGAAACCTGGAAGTGGGGTGCCTGTCCTCTCCATTGTAGCTCCAAATAATGTGATCTGCTGAGGATATGTTAAGTTACTTTTCTTTAATATGATCTTAATGCTTTTCTTGTATCAATGGACTTGCAGACTGGCTGCAAATGGTTGTTTACAACTATCGGTGGAATCATGGACGGTATTAAGTCCTTGCATATTATCAGTCGGCTAGAACTTAGAATACCATCAAAATTGAGAGATTGAAGGCTTATAGATAAAAAATCTGAACTTGGTACAGGGCCATTACAAGTGGATGGCTTGGCTGTACAAATGGATGCAGCAAATGCCTTGGGGAGAAACTAGTATCTTGTTTGAGCGTAGAGAAGATCTTGAAATTTCTACAATTCGCCATCTAGATTACTAATGTATTCTATCTCCTACGAATGATGATATTTGCTAACGTGAAAGTAGAGACTTTAATGTACTTTTTTTTTTGGGGTCCCTCCCAAATTTAGGCATTTGGGTGTGTTTGTTTCTCTATTTTGGGTAGAATTTTTGAAATCCTATCCAAAATATTTATTTGTTTCTTTAGTCTGAAAATTCAATTCAACTATTTTTAAACCCTCTAAGTTTGTTCATTTAATTAAACACTTAAAAAAAAAAAAATAAATTAGAAATTGACAAAAATACCCTCACCCACTCTCATTTGCCAAATTCCGACCATCACAGTCGGAAGGTGGTCGGAATTTGGTATAATGATGCATTACTAGTTGGATTTGGTCGGTAGTGCGTCGATCTAGCATTTTTTGACAAGATTCATTGTGGATCTGGCTAGAAAAGGCTAGATCTATAGTCGAAGATCTGGTTGTTGATAGCCAGATCTTTGACTATAGCTAGTTGTCAATGACGGCTAAGATATGGTCATCGTTGATGACCAAATGTGGTCAGTCGTCAACAGCCAGCTCCATAGTGGATTTGGTCGAAAAATGTCATATCGATGCACGAACGATTAGATCCAGCTTATCGTGCGTTATTACGATGACTTCCAACCACCCTCTGATGGTGATGGCCGGCTACTGGAATTTAATGGGTGGGTGGGGGTATTTTTGTCAATTCTTAATGTTTTATTATAGGGGTGTTTAGTAAATTAACAAACTTAGGAGAGTATTTTTGTTAATTTTTAAATCCTACTACATAATAACCACCCAACTCAACTTTTTCAAAAATCTTATCTAAAATAATAAAACAAACACAACCCTTTCAGGAAGTTACATGACACAAAACCCTATAAAATAACCAAATTGAATTATTTTCTGAATTCGAAGCGCTGCCTTTGGTTCAGACAATCTCTAAAGACAATTCCTAATTTCCTATACATTACGTAAACACATGTTGTACTGTTCATGACTATGCATTATGAATTCATAGCCATAATCCAATACATTTGGCTGAAGTCTGAGAGATACTTTTCTAGAAAAAAAAAAAAAAAAAAAAATTGAACACAAGCGTAGATTTGAAAGGTATTCAATCAAGAGTAAAGTTTGATACACTTGTTACTTTTCCTGGAATGACTCTGTGACATATTAATGACATGATCTTGCACCCTGAAATCAGATTTCAAGCTACATCTTACCATATCTGCAACATCAAGAAATCCACTGGAGGTAGATATTGACATATTGCAAAATACATTCTGCAACCATATAAATATACTAGCTCTAGCAGGCTCCTTTCATATCCATGAAACAAGAAACCCAAATGTCTCCCAAAACCTCTTTCCATGTACCAATTTCCTGTCCGGCAACATTTTCCATTCTCATTATATGTGGTAACCTATGGCTTTCATGTGAAGCTCATCTCAATTGCTCCATTTATTTTGTATACGTTCCAAAAAACCTCAGTCTTGAAGAAAGATATCATAGACTTGTTTGTTAGTGTATGCCTAGAAATGATTTGTGTTGTCAATTTCTTAGCATTTTGTCTTGTATCGATATATTAATAAATAAAAGAAAGAGTTCTTTGATTTATATATATAAGTTGCTTTTTTTATTTTGTCATACATTTAAATAAAGTATATATATGAATTGTCCTGATAATCCATTTAATAAGTAAATGAAATTATCAAAAGGTTCCTTGCGGAAGCAATATTTTTTGGGCAACAATATCGCATAGTAGGCATACTAAATGCTTCCCAAAAAGAAGGGCATTTCCAGATGCGGAAGAGTAAGAGAGAGTAACGAAGAGTAGGGCCGTCGATAACTTGGCTAAAAAGTTTTTTTTTTTTTTTAGGGGGGGGGGGGGGGGGGGGGGGGGTATTATGAGTTCATATAAATACGGATGACAATGATAGTCATGTCACTGGGGCATTAGTATGGATTAACGGTTGATGAATTGTTTTTCGAACGTGACTGACGAACGATGAATCACATGGAATTGTATGAAGTCAATGATTTATCGTTTGGTCATATTAGTGTATGATGTAGTCCTTTGACCTGAGACATCGTGGTTGACGGACCAGGTACGGATGCACATGGTTTGTATGGTGTATAAGTACGAGTCTAGCGATGCCTTGCATGTTAAAGCTTACTTAGTCATGCATTGTTCATACGCGGAAACAAACGATGGTCAAAATAGGATCCGTTGACTCAGAAATACAGGATCGGGAGTACCCATTGACTCCAACCGGATCCGAGTTCCTAGATGAATGTTGATAAATATCAGAAACCAAAATCTATGATCAGGGCAAAACATTACTCATATGAAGGTAAGTTCGTGATGACGAGTTTTGGACATATTGATCAACGATTCATAATGGTATCGAGTTTAGGATTTTGACGATCTGTGAATCCGTACTCGATCAGGATATGACAATGGAAGGACGTTACCTACATGGCAAATATGACCTAATATAGGTTTGATGGAGCTATTCCTTCATCATGGTTTAGGGGTTATGACATATTGCTAGATATTTACCATAGTCGTTAAACCTGTGGACAAGGTTCCAGATTGATCTGGAACCGGCTCACGGCTAAACCAAGGTGGTTCTACATGGTTACACCAGTAGCCTTGTGTAGTTAGAGAAGGATGAGAGAGAGAAATGATTATCTAAAGAGGGCTAGCACCTTCCAAGGTTAATAACGGAATTTCTATGTGCATTGTTACATAGAAATTGTTCATGACATTTTAAAGGCTACAATGGTCAAACATTAATAAATTGGATTTAATCATACTATCTTAAAGTGTTAAGATAAGTAATATGGGCTAGAAATCACCTTTAAGAGTTAAAGGGTTAAAAGGTAAACTTATGGGTTGTAATGTAAACTAGTGTAGTTTACATGGGCCCTTGACTAATATTGATTATTCAAAGGCCAAATTACTAATGGGAGGCACAATTTAATTGAGAATTATTATAAGGTCATCCAAGCAAAAGAGGTAATTAAAAATTGGTCCATGATTATATAAGTGAAATAAAGTTGCATTTTTGGACAAGTTTTTCATTTTTTTTGTACGAAAAACACAATCTCCTCTCTAAGGCTCAGCCATTCTCTCTTTCACTCAAGGTGGTGTTAAAGTGTAGGGGGCTTAAGTTTTTGGGTCTTGGGTTCATCAAATAAGGGCACTAGGAGAAGGTATAATCATAAACTAAGATTTTATTTATGTTTTATGTTCCTTGCATCCATAACTTGTCATTGCATGTTCTTTGACATGCTTCCATCACATTTCCACCACCATATTCATAGATTCTTCAAATGCTATCAGAGCCAAAAGCTCCTTGCATGTCCATTTTATAAGCAAAGATCAAGTTTTAGACATGCATGTGATTCGGCCATTCTTGTTTGTTCATGAAAAATTGTTTTTCATCTTGATCTAATGTGATTGGATGTGATAATGTATCCATGTTGATGGTTGTTGCATGAAATGTGATAAGGACCACATGCAAGTGCTTATTTTGATTTAGAATGATGACATGTTCATTGTTTTCTTTGTATAACATTCGGCCATACACAAATCCTTGCCATGAATTTTCGTTTCATTCATATCTTGTTTGAAAATTGTTTTTGGAAGGTGTTCCATGATGTATGCTCACATGGAATTAAGTTAATCTTGTTCTTGGATGTATATTTTCATCTTGACCAAGCTAGACTTTATTATGTGAGGATATGATGAAAATGTCATTTTAAGAAAGCATAATGGATCGGATTTAACTAGCTATTCCTATTATTGTTCTCTGAAAATCCTTTTAGGTTTATTTCGTTTTAGGTCACGTTCCTTTTTGTGTGGATGAAAGTTTGATAAGCGTTCAATAATTGCTATTTTTAATCCCTTTATATCAATTTTTGTGATATATTTTGTGATTAATTGAGCTGATTAATATATTTTGTGAATTAGGAAAGGAATTGAGGCATGTGAATGAAAGTGGAGCATAATGTGCATTTTTCAGACATTGACAAATTCTACCTATGAAGGTTTAGTGGAGACTTTGATGATATTAGATTTCCAAAATGAGAAATAGGTCTTCTTGAGGTTTGAAGTAGACGTCTTGAGCTTTTTAAATTGGGCTTACGTGTTTTAATCCTAGTAGATTTGGGTATTCAAAGTTTACATCGAAGTCAAAAGATCCAATCCTGTCACAACTAGGGCACAGGTCAGTAATTGGGCTATTACTTGAGTTCTAGAAGTCAAATTGAGATGATTGAAGATGCGTTGGAAAGCTTATAACTAAGGATACAACTTTCATGAAAAGCCCATTCCCGAATTCAGTTTGTTTTGGACCCAAAATCAGCTCGCAAGTTCCAGCAGAAAATTAGCCAGCCTGTTTTGGAAAGAGTAGGACTCAATGCCTACAATTTAGAAATTTGAGTTATAAACCTTTTGGGAGGTTGTACACACGTTTTTAGGGTTATTTGAAGGGGCTATAAATATAACATTAGGTTTTTAAGGAGAAAAGAAACACACACACACAAGGGGATATATTCAAAAACACTTGTTATTCTGAATTTACGATGTTTGGCTAAACTCTTTCAATTTAGTTCGTGGGGATTTCAATTTCTATCACATATCTATGGTATAATTAATAAAGTAATTTAATTTCTTACCTTTCTATGGATTTGATTTATGTTATTATGTTTTAATGGAATATTATATTTAATTTGTTTAATTTACTTCATGCCTTGTAGATTGATTGAATTGATATCTATTGCTAGAATTAGAGATTGTATTACGTAATCGATCTTTTCCTAATCATGCATTATCAATTAGTA